CTCAGTGAAGAGATGATGGAATTTGTAGACTGTTGGACACTTTTTTTATTGTATTGTAATTTGCCTTTGTTTTTTAATATTTGTTCTCCCCTGTAAAACACACTTGAGAAAACTCTGAGATTAAAGGTAGTCACAAAATTATATTGTTTTTAGATAGCAAGGGATTTTTAAAGGCTTAATTACTTTTATTAAGAATACAGGGCAGCAAGCAAACTTGTTATTTCATTATAAGTTATGCATGTTTGGAAAAAGTCATTTGTTTTGCCTTTTGATCTATAAACATTGTACTCTTGAAAGAATTGCAGCCATGTTGCAACAGCTCTTAAATTGCAGAAGCATTATCTATAAGTGTTAAAGATATTCAGGAACTTTTGGGGATCTCATCAATGGTATAGAAGCAGCTCTGTTTTTAATGTGGCAATTTCTGCATTGTGCTAAATCCCCACAATTTAATGTTTGCACAGTAGGGCACCCCCAAGCTCGGTGGCTGCTGAGCAGACACCGCCTCAGCCGAGAGGTGACCTGGGTGGGAGTTGCACCCGTGGTGATTAAGTTAAATCCATTAACTCTCATCTGGCCGTGGGTTGTGTAAGAACAGGGGCAAAGCTGGGCTGGGTTCACTGCAGCCTCCTGGACCTTGCACTTCTGGGCCCATAAAGTGTGGCTGTGAGGAGGGAAGAGCTTTTTGTGCCTGTCTGGAGAGGCAGCCACGGCTCTGAGTGCTCTGAGCTTTGCAGCACAGTCTGGAGATGAGAGAAGGCAGCTGTGGATCAGCCTCTTGATCTACTCACACTATAATTAGATGCACCTTTTTGAACTGAAATTTAAGCTGTTCTGTTCCCTTTTTAATCACATTTGCCTTCTATCACAATTTCTCTTTATAATATTTTTATTAAACAATTCAAACTAGCACAAATAAAAAATTATTGTTACTATACAGGTTTTCTATCCAGAGGTATGAAAGAAAGGTAACAAAATAAGATCTCTTTTTATCTGATAACAGAACTGCTGTCACTGAAATGTGTATTTCTCAGACACAGAATCAGTTTAGCACATAGTTAGCTTCCAAAAGCAAATCCTGCACATGCTACACAGAAAAACAAATGTGGTTGAACAAGGACAGACCTGTCAGGAGAGAAGACTGTCTGCAAGTGTATGTGTGATGCTGTACTGGTCCCCTGGAAGACACAATGTTCTCAATAATTCTGTGGGATCCTGTTACTGAAGCTTTTCTGCACCAAAAGAGAAACTACTAAGAGACCAAGCACAGAGTTTGAAGCATTATTTAAAAAAAAAATTAAAAATTGGGGGTTAATGCTGTCTTTTTGTTTTGAGATAGAGATCTTTTGTCTAAAATGCTCCTGATTTAACACCCATCATGTTGGGGATTTATTTGGCTTTTCAGTGTCATCTCTTCAACCTACCTGGACCTACTTGGTCTCACTTTTTTGGCCTCCCTGGACCCCTCCAGTGCCAAGACTTTAGCCTCCTTGGAACTCTTTAAAATCCCCTTTTCAGATTCATTGGATTTATCCAGTCTGAGCTCTTCATCCTCTGTGGAATTCTCCAGTCTCACTTCTTCATCCTCTCTGGACCTTTCAAGTCTCACATCTTCATTCTCCTCAGACTTCTCCAGTACCTCCTCTTCAATCTCCTTAGAGCTCTCCAGCCTCACCTCTTCAGACTCCTGGGAGCGCTCCAGTTTCTCCTCTTCAGTTTCACTGGACCTATCGAGTCTCACTTCATCAGGCTCTCCGGATCAGTCTGGTGACAGCTCCTCAATCTCTTTAGATCTCTCAAGTGTCACCTCTCTATCCACAGATTTCTCCAGCCCTACTTCTTCACTCTCCCTAGACCTCTCCAGTCTCACTTCTTTGTCCTCCACAGATGTTTCCAGTCACAGCTCCTCAGCTTCCCTGGACTTTTCCTGTACAATCCCTCCATCCTCACCAGGTGTGTCTGAGTACAGCTCCTCCACCTCGTCAGAATCTCTAGACCTGACCGATTTGAACTATTTCATGTTTCAGCGCTCCTCTGGATTATCTTCATCAGCTCCCGAGGATGTTCCCAACCTCATCTCTGCCCCTTTCCTGGATGTCTCCAGCCTCACCTTTCAGGATGCTTCTCCCCTCAGCCCCTCAGTTTCTCTGGACATGTCTAACCTGACGTCCTTGGTTCCCCCAGACCTGTCCACGCTGACGTTCCTGGATGTTGCTAATCGCGCTGCAGCGGCGTCCCTGGATCTGTGCATCTGACCTGCCAACCCTCCCCTCCTCGGCACCTCCCTCTGTCCTGCCAAACTTCTCTCCTTTATCTGCCCTCTCCTTTCTTCCCTCACTGAAAATTCCTACCTGAGGAAAGTTTAGGGCTTTACAAAATATCTCCTGGCATCTAAACTGGGCATGAACACAGGTCATGCAAATCTGTAACGGTGCCTTGGAACAGCTGCATAAACATCAACATTTATTCTGGAATTTTCGTAGAGCACAGTTTCTGTCACTGATTGATATCCAGTCATGGCTGGTGCCTCACCCAAAGGTTTGGCTTTTTCAGTTCATGCTGAATTTTTATCTATCAAGACCAACAAATAGTAAATAGAGCTAAATGTGTAAGTAACAGCATCCAGATTGTGCATCTCCATTATGGATTTGTATCTGAGTTAATTTCACAGAATTGCAGGCAGAGGCATTTCACAGGGAGATACAGAGAGAGAAAATGTGGGAAAAGAAAATTGTGGAGCAAAAAACAGGTGAGAAATGGGTTAGGGAGAGGAAGCAGAGAAGCTGTGGGGCAGGAATAGAGGAGCATCTAGCTGGGAAAAAATGTCCAACTCCACTGGCATGGTTTTTCTCTGCCAAGCCATCTATGGGGCCTGGGCTGCCCATGAGGCTTAAAATAATCTTAGTGTTAATTATTTTATCTATCAAATCGTCAGATGTTCCCATTAAAGAAGCATTTGCATGTTACATTTCCTTTCTCAATATTTGTAAATACTGCAGTTACTTGTCCTGCTGCTTAAGTAGCACAGAGAGTCTTCCCAAAATCTTTGGTGCTCTCTTGCATATTTTTGTTATCATTGTTTTGACTGGGGCTTTGAAACCAAATATATTTCCTTTCAATATCACTGGCATCTTTCTGTGTTAAAAGTGCAGACACATGTTTGTCATAACAAATATTTTAATTGGAAAGCTTTGCTCCGATATGCCACATCTCTCACAAAATTAAAATATGTTTCACACAAAAATAAAGAAAACAAATGTATAATGTAAGAATTGTTTTCTGCCTCATTTACACTAGTTATTTCTTCAAAATTAAGTAGGAACGATTTGCAATATGTGTATTTAAGAAATTAACCCAAAATTCTATAGGAGCTGAGTTGTTTAATAGTTAAAAAAAATACTGATCACTGGTGCAGATCTCACTGTTGTATGCTGGTGAACAATTTTTCTTTTTGTTCTGGTGGCTCTTCCCTGACATTATTGTGTGGGTTGTTAATGGCAAAGGTTCTGGACTAAATGAGATCTCTAATAAAGCTGAAAATTACTCTGTGCTTTAAAAATTGTTTGACTTTGGATAAAAGGAAATAAAAGAGAACAAGACAGAAGTGTAAGGATTTGTTTAAAAGCCAGTTTTTAATTTCCTTAAGTATTTTTTATTAATTATTTAGATGAACATTAGGTTCGGATCAAATTGCTCACCTATCAAAAATTATTTGAATCTTCTAATAGCTTTTTGCTTATTGTAGCTGGGAAACTGATTATTTTTTCTTTGTGTCAATAGCTTCTAGTTTGCTATGTTGTCTTTTATGTGTTTGTTTAGAGGAAATGATTGAATTTCAGGTGTTTGTATCAAGATTCAAAGGATGCCCATGGCAAGGCACCGTGTCCCATGGGACAGAACTGTCACAGCCACACAGATCAACTCCAGAATTAAAACAGTCTGTTTAAAAAACATCACTGGCTCCACATGCTTGTAAAAGGTTTTCTTTTTAATGTCTCATCTAGAAAAAAACAAGAAGCGATGGCACAGAGGGGTAAGAACAGATTTGGATGCAAAAGACACCCATTTAACCTGCTCGGATTCTTCGATTACAAGAGGATTTCTAAGGAAGGAGTTAATGTGTAACTAACAAAGTGCTCTTTAACCAGCAATGAGCCTCACAGAAAACTTGGACTTTAACTTATGTTCTTTAGGTACTTGACATCTCGTGTATTTCCGACAAATGACCAGCACTGAACCGACTCTCTGGCTGGTTTTGACAGCCAGACAGGCCCCGGCCGGCCACAGGCGGAGGCGGGACGCTCCCATGCCGGGAAGAGC